AGGGGGGGGGGGGGGGGTGGGGGGGGGGGGGGGGGGCAGGGCATGTTGGTGTTGTGTGGGTTGCAAGCCTACACTTTTTATAAACAAAAGAGTTGTTAGTTCAGTTTTTTACACAAAATCAAAATAAAAGTCAAATATCAAGAAGAGTAAAGGCTCCGTTTGGTTCATATTTTTGCGTTTTTTGAAAAAAATTAAAAAAATGTTGAATTGGACAGGTATTACGATGTAGGATTTACAAATTAATAAAATACCCCATATGTTTGTTTATTTACAAAACACCCATATAATAAACCATTAAAAGTTAACAAAAACACCTCCAACCCACCCTCAAATACGGACAGCCGGCCATCACCGTCGGAGGGTGGTCGGAGTCGTCGTATCGACTCATGACCGGCTGGATCTTGCCGGTCGTACGCTGATATGGCCTTTTCCGGCCAGATCCACGGTGGATCTGGCCGGCAAAGGCCAGATCTACGGTTAGATCTGGCCATTGACGGCCAGATCTGGCCGTATTTGCTCGTCAACAACAGTAAACAAACGGTCGTCGTTGATGGTCAACGACGACCGTTTGTTGGCCGTTGTTACCGACTGGTTACGGACAAAGATCTGACCGAAAAAGGCTAAATCGACGCACTACTGGCCAGATTCAGTCGGTAGTGTGCCATCCTACCAGATTCCGGCCATTTTCTGACGGTGGTGGCCGAAATCTGGTAAATGTGGATTGCTGGGGTGTTTTTACAATTTTTTAAAAAAATATTTAAGGGTATTTAATTAAATTAACAAATTTAGGGGGTTTAAAAAAAGTTGAATAATATTGCAAGTTTTTTGGTATTTTACTATTTAACTTTTTTGGGAATACTAATAATAGTATTCGCAAAAACCAACCAAATAGAGCCAAAGACTTTTTCTCACCCAAGTTTGCCTTAATGACACTTTCCCACCCAAAGTTTATATTTCAAAATACCGTTGTATTATAAAATGAATGAATAAAACTATTAAACTTATTGAGCTCCTTGTACTAATAACGTGTTATAATTTTAGCGGTGTACTTGTAATAAAATAAACCAAGAAGTAAGAAGGACCGAAAATAAAAGCGTAAAATAAAGAGAGCTGAAATGAAAACCTTTTATTAACCTTTTCTCACAATTGTGTTGTATATGTTTACAGGAGAAAGTGGGGGTTATTTATATAACCAGCCGCCCACTTAGAACAAATAAAACTTTGACATGCTTAAGTGTATCCGTCATTTGAGTATCATAACAAGGGCCATGAGTTACAGTCTAAGGTACGTCACAATTTCGGTGGATGCCCACCACTTACATTAACAAGTTTATATTATAACAAAAGAGTTTCTAGTTTGGTTCTTATTCACGCTCAAAATAAAAGTGAAAGGGTGGCTTCTAATTAGCAAAATTAGACATTTGATATGAATTTTTTTAACTTCAAAGAGATTGATCTGACGGTCAAGAAGGCTTGTTCATTTCATTGACTTTTAAGTTCGAATCTTGAGACCATCTATCTCACTTGTGGCTTTTGTTACTATTATCCTTGTATAAGATAAGCTTGACAAATTTCAAAGGCCAAGGTTGAGAACCTTTCCTCCAATCTCGATTTGAAACACACGTACATTTGTAGCTCAACTTCAACTCTAATCCTTGCCTTCAGTTCTAGGGGGGCATCTTTTCCCACCAACCCTAAAATTTTCCGAGGATCCCCTTGTCCAATGAAACTGGATTTTTCCAAGCAACCGATCCCGTCTAGTATTTTTGCCAAACCTAACATGAACAGTGGTTACCAATACCTTAGCAAAATCTGAGAAGTGATAAAGGTCAATAATAATTAAAGTAAAATGTTTGGGGAAATAATCAAAATTGAGCAAAAGCTCAAGGGGAAATCAATGACATTGAAGGGAGTTTATTACAAGACATAATGTCCCAATTCTAAATTATTATTGCTATACAAAGCGCTAGTTATAACTTATTTCAATGTATAAGACAATTCAATAAACAAACCAAGGAATGAAATTATTTAATTAACATTCTCTTTTTATAGCAAAACTTCGCCGGAATGCTTATCATGAGTTGACCGACCGGGACAGGAAATTATTGCCGGACTCTACAATCTTGATAATCTGGAAACTTATGGGATATGAATATGTTGCGTAGGTGGCCTCAAGCAGATGAGTTTACAACATCGTCTTGTACACTTTACAAATAAATTAGTAAACTGCTCTCCTGCTGTTGCTAAGATCACTTGTAAAATCATTGTCGTCATTTTCACATTGTTGCAGTAGTTCATTATACTCGGGATTATAAGCAGCTGGCCAGCAGCTAAACGCAGATGCTTTACAGCTTCAGCCTTGCGACCTACATTATATAAAGCACAGAAAAACCCAGTAGTTAGTGCCCAAACAATAGACCTAAATTGTAATGACGATATTGATCAATTCTGAGACAAGCGATTATCAGGTTATAAGTAAAAATACTTGAGAAATGATTGTGTAAATTCATACCTTGAAAGTAATACCAATCCATCATAATAATGGGCTTTGGAACTTTTTTTCTCTGGCTCTTCCAAATTTGCAATTCTTTCCAGGTGTACAATTCCTTCAGCCATTTGCCCCTGTAACATACAGAAGAAAGTGAAACAAACAAAAGAAAATGAATGCCTTTTTTCATCGAGTAATTATATATTTAAGCCTGCCGACCCAGCTCGAAAAGTTTACAAGTGGCCCATGGCTGGGTCCTAAAATTGAACTCAAANATGGGATTACATCAACTAAAGATGCTGCTATGGCAGCAGAAGCTGGTGCTAATTTTATTGGAATGATTATTTGGCCAAACTCCAAGCATTCGGTTTTGCTTGCAGTTGCTAACGAGATTTCAAAATTTTCAAGAGAATATGGGGCAGAGCCTGTTGGGGTTTTTGTGGATGATGATGCAGAGACGATGTTAAGAGCTGCTAACTGGGCAAAGTTTAAGTTTATGCAGGTATTTATGGTTTCCTGGTATTGAATTCCTTGGAACTTTTGATGGGAATCGACAAGACAACCATCTTTATCCAATAATACTTTTTTCTATGCTAAGCTGCTGCTGAATGAATTGCTAAGGTTATTATTGTTTTTCTATGCTAAACTTCTGTTGAATTTAATTGCTGAGGTTAATGTTGATTGTCTGTGCTGAGTCGTTGTTGATTTGAATGACTGAGGTTACTATTGAAATGCTCTGCTGGGTGTTTATAGGCAGAGTGTTTATGTTGTTGAGAAATTGCCAGATTTTTTCTGCTGAAGTGTTGTTGCCAGTTGACAGATTTTTCTGCTGAAGAGTTGTTGCCAGGTGTGATAAGAATGGCGATGGGTTGCTGTCAGAGGAGGAGGGACAAGAGGTGAGGATTCAATATACATATATGCCTAACCAATGAAATTAATAAGTTCACAACTCTCAAATCTTAAAGATAACGCTGCAGCGTACATAGCTTTAATTATAAAAAAGCTAGATCCTGACCTTAAGGGATATATAGAGACTAGCATTTTGAAATTAATAAGTTCACAACTATTATATATATATTGCTTTCTAACATATTTTATTTTCACAATTTGTTTTACTTTTAATTGAACAGACAGAGAAGTTTTGATTGCGTGGGAGGGTCTTCCAGATCATGATGCTTCATGGGAGAACCTTTGGAGTTAATAGCACAGCAAATTCCAGACTTTCACGTTGAGGACAAGGTGAAATTGCTGGAGGGGAGTATTGACAAGCATCTTGTATTGAGGGTTTATTCTAAAAGAGATAAGGGAAAGTTAGGTAGTGGACAAGGCTGTTAGGAATTGATCATATGGGATTATCCTATTAATGATAAGTTAGCAGTATTATACCCTAAATGTCCTCAGACTATAATCTGGGGAGTTCTTTATTTGGCTTTAATTAGTTTCATTTTGAAAACAAATTAGCCTTATACACAACAAACATGTTGTTTCATGATTAGGTATGAACTCAATTATTGGATCATCAATTTATTGGTTTATTACTCATCAACACCATAAAAAGAGCAGTCTAAACCAATTGAAACATCCAATGATTCAAACATACATGATGTCAACACCAAAGTCATAAGGAACCCGTGCGTCTTTCATCTAGTTGATTTATGTTACAAATAGAGAACTGATTGTAATTTTCTTATGTATTGCATTGACAAATTATACATCAATATATAGGAAAATAGAGAACTAATCTAGGAAATAAATAATCTAATCTAGGAAATAAAAAATCTAACTTCCTATTTTACAGATTTGTTCCTATTATGTATTGATTACAATCCTAATATCCTATTATAGATTTATTCACTTAATCATGCAATATCTGTAAGATTTTGCATGATTATCTACAACAATCTACAACACTCCCCCTCAAGATGGAGCATAGATGTTAATCATGCCCAGCTTGTTACAAATATAATCAATCCGAACCCCATTCAAAGCTTTAGTGAAAACATCTCCTAGTTGCTCTCCAGTCTTCACATATCCTGTAGAAATTAAACCTTGCTGTATTTTCTCACGAATGNAGATGGAGAGCGAGTGAAGCGACGGAGATGTGACAGTAAAAGCCTGGAAGTCGCCATTAGAGCCTGACTGGGTTTATCTACCCAAAAATAAAAAAATAGTTAATAAAAGGAGAAATGTGCGGCCCCTATATAATGTAATAAATTTGAATTTTACGTTTCTCTTTTTTAAAATAAAAACTTTCACTCTAAATTAATATTTCTAACACAATATTACAAACAAAAATCAATTATTAACATATTGATTGTGTTAGTAATAAATTTTATACTTTTTGTTTTTAGACAAACATGAAAAAATGATTTTCATTTTTCGCGTTTTTAAGGATTATTTTCAAACAAACATATGGAACACATTTTCATTTTTTCTGCATTTTCTTATAAATATAAACAGAAAAAAAAAACATAAAATTCATAATAACCCACTTTATAATTAAATATTGGCTTTGTTTTAAAAAATAAAAAACAAAAATAGTATCCAACAAGATCATTATGTTTGATTTGCCTATAGAAACAATAAGTTTATTAATAAGAGACACTACTTGATCACACAATTAATATAAGAGTAATGTTACATCTACAACTCGTAAACTTTCTCTTACAAACCTGACGTAACAACTCGTAATTGGTCAATTATAATTTATTTGGTGGGACTCAGTTAAGACTTATTACAAGCTAATCAATTACGAGTTGCCACATCAGGATTGTGAGAAAAGATTATGAGTGTAGCATTTTCCTTAATATAATGAGATTTATTATTTAATATTTATATATGTATATTATTTTTTTTTTGAAAAAGAAGAGAAATGAAAACAATATTCACATAATAAATTGAACTTATTATAAGAATAGAAACAAAATTATTTATTAGGATTAAAAGATTTAAAAAAATAATAAAAACAACTTATCTAAAAAATTAATTATAATTTATAATTATAAAACAAAATTATAAAAAAGTCAATTTAGTGTGGACTTTGTTTTTCATTTTTTTGGTAAGAATAGAGAGTGAATTTCGAAAGAAGGTTTTGTCTAGGCAAATGTTTGTTAAATTGGTTGGGTAAAGAGAAACAAGCAAGTAGCTAGGAGCTACCTATAAGTATTATTTTTACAAACTAGAAAGAAAAAGAAAAAGAAAGCTTAGAAAGAAGAATAACAAACCACAAAGAGAAGATTTTAACAAATAAATGGGGCTATGTTATGTTATATTATGGTGGTTGTTTGAATAAGTAACCTTAATTACCAACGGGTGTTGGGGTTGGGAAACTCAAGTGCATGAATGTAGAGCTGGGCATTTGGGACCGGGCCCAAAAGCCCAGCTCCAAAACCCGGTCTTAGGAGGTCTGGTCCCAAAATGGGACCAAGCTTAGGGAGGAGGGCCCGGGTCCTCCACTGGGCCCTCCTCCAAGGCCCGGGCCTGGGCCCAAATTTTTTTGTATTTTTTCAATATAGTCCGCTACCAAATTACATAAAACCCCCTATTAATTTTAAAATAAATATAAATTACGATGGTTAAAATGAAATTTTACAAAATTTATAAAAAAAAAAAAAATCTTCCAGGTCCAAAAAATTTATAAAATTTATAAATTTTACCCCTAAAAAATACTAAAAACCCCCTATAAAATTTGTTTTGCCCCCAAAATATAAAAAAAAATTGAGGGGGGAAAATGAAATTATCCAAGCCCATGGGACCGGTCTTGGGCCCACGGGACCAGTCCCGACCAGGCCTAGGGCCTGGTCCGGGTCTTGGTTTTTCTCATGGGTCTAGGACCGGTCCCAGGCCCATGAATGGGACCAGTCCCAAACGGGCCCAGGCCTGGGCCCGCAAGGGACCGGTCCCTTGCCCACCTCTACATGAATGTCATATTTACGGTTACTCTATTGAATTGAATGTCATATTTATATACATTTAATTCAAATAAAGTACATCAATGAGAAGATCATCAATGCAAAATAGTAAAACTTTATAGTGTTAATTATAACATGTAATGTAGCTCTTTCATCATTAAGTATGTACCTGTTCATTGAAGTACTCTTGAACTGTGGCATTCAAGTTGCCATTCCAACGTTCAACCCAATCTAGAAGCAGTTTGTTAAGCTTGGGTGTCACTTGCTCTCCATAACCAAAGGTCTTCATGTTTCCACATCCCAATATCTCTAGCCTCTCCAATGCTGGGTATTCAATAGTATATGATCCAAAGCTAAAACAAGTGAGGCTGTCTAGACATCCAAGGTCCAAGAGGTACAAACTAGGAAACACTATCCTCTCTATTGATGCTTCTTTTTCTCCTTTCTCATTTGTGACTATTTCTTCTATTGTTGAGCAATCCCATATTTGAAGACTTTTGAGCTTCACCAGACATTTGACAATGGAAGGGACGAAGAGGTTTTTTAATTTAGGACATTCATTTATACACATAGAAGTCAAGTTTCCCAAACTTGGGGAGATTATGGTGTGGTTTGGAGGTTGGGTTAGAGGTTGTCCATGGCATAGTCCAACCAAGTTGGAACTACAATAGATAACCAATTCCTCTAAATTGTGGAAAGTTGAGTTTGGTGTCCATTCCATTGTATTTAGGAGATACTTTATCTCATCGCATGATCTGATATCAAGATACTTCAATTCATTTAACCCTTCTTCAACTAAGTTATGACTAATACTCTCTAAATTAACAATTTCCTCTAAAATAAGATACTCAGTTCTTTTGAGCAAACCTTTAACCCAGTCTTGTATCTCTGAAATGTTGGTTTGTGAGAGACTCATAGTTCTTGAGGATCCACTCTCAGACAAATAATAATCCCTATAGTCACAATATGCACCATATTCTATTCTTAATTTAAATTTGGATAGGTTATTTTGAAATATCAACAATTTTGGTGAGACATTAAGGTTTGAGATAAAAATCTCTAAATGAGTCAATCGGGACAAGACTTGTAACTCAACAAGATTGGCATTGCTTATCAAATTTTCACTTTCATATTCCCATTGCCTAAATGTATTAATATACAACTCCTCTAACTTTTTGAGAGAGCGTATAACACCATAAGGTATTAGTGTTAACTTCCCACAATTATTCAAATCTAATGATCTGAGATTACTTAATTGGCTAAAGGATACCGGGATCTCCTCAATATTAGATTTGGAGAGACTAAGAATCTCTAGTTTTCTTAGCTTTCCAATTACTCCTATGTCACCCAACTCCCCACCACTAATATGCAATGTTCTAAGATTTGAAAGAAATGAAACTGAATCAGGCAATGACAAGAGTGTGAATCCACTCAAGTCTAAAACATTGAGATTTTTCATTCCTTGAAAGAAATTTCCAGGAAAAAGAATCTCAGAACTGCCATCCAACATCAAAACCTGCAACTTTGGGCATTCTAACTCATTAGGTAGCTGCATAGTATTATTTGACATTAGTGAGATACATGTGAAATCTTCGAATGTATCTATGTTTGTCCACTGTCGTACACCAATGTTAGCTTTTACCAAGAATTGGTGGTTGTATTTAGGAGCTATGTTTAATGCGAAATCCCGCACTACATCATGCATTTTAACATACTCTTCACCATCATCAATTAAGAGAAAGGAAGAAGTAATGGTACTTACAATAGCATGAACTCTATCTCTGACATCTTCTATTGTCTCATCAACGTCTTTAAACCACCTCTGACCAATTGCGTATCTCACTAAAACTTCAATTGGAATTTTGTAATCCTCTGGAAATAAGCTGCAAAATAAGAAAAGTGATTTTGACTCCACTTTTTCTAGATAATGCAAGCTCAGCTCCAAAGATGAAAATAAGATCCCATCCACTCCTGGGATGTCAGAGGGGTTGGACTTTTGAAGTTGTCGTGCTGCGTTTCTCCACACATGCTTGTTCTTGCCCTTTAAAGCTCCTGCTATTATCACAATTGCAAGTGGCAAGCCACCACATTTAGCAGCTATAGCTCTTGCAAAAGAGCTTATGTCAGAAGTTTCGACATTTGAGCCCACAATCTCGCTGAAAAGTATCCAAGATTCTTGCTTTGATAAAGTTTCAACTGTATGTATCTCTTGACACTCCATTTGATTACTTACAGTTTTGCTTCGAGAGGTGATTAAAATTTTACAACCTCTATGGTCACTCCCAAAAGGAATACCAATCTCATCCAATTTGATTCTTTCCCAAACGTCATCTAAAATAATGAGGATCCGCTCTTTCTCCTTGATTCTCTCCCATAGGAAACTTGCTCTTGCTATTTCAGAACTAGCCGGCAAGTTTGTTACATGTAACATGTCAGCAATATTGCTTTGAATTTTCCTAATACTAGGGGTTTGAGAGACAACTGCCATCACTACAACATCATACATCTTAGCTTCTTTTACATGTTGGATGATTTCTTTGACTAGCGTGGTTTTACCCACACCCCCCATTCCCCATATTCCAATTATGCTGACACTGTCACTATCAGTTAAGGCCTTCATAACTTGCTTCTTAATTGAATTTCTAGATTCAAAAGTGCTTGAAGAAAATAACTTCGATGACGACATAATACCAAATGGAGGACCAGGACAAGACACACTCTCATCAAACTTTCCCACTTCTTGGAGCTGTTCAGATATCATCAGAGTATGCTTCTTTGCCTCTTTACTGAATCGATAACGTTGTTTGAGATTAATGCACCACCCTTTGAGGCACCTCTTGTTGGCTTTGTCTTCATCTTCCAAAAAGCTTTCAGCTTTTGCAGAAATATTATCAACTTCTGCTATCCAGCTTCGAACATTAGCAAAGATGATTTCTCCTTGTCTTTCAGCAACTTCGATTTTCAGTTGCATACTACGTCTTCTATCTGCCAACTTCTCAGCTTGCTTTTTCAAATTTTCAATGTTGTCGTTGTAACGAAACAAGTAACCAAGTTGATCACCAGCGGCTGCAAAACAGCACTTTCCGACTTCCACAGTAATTGAAGAAAGAAATTCCATCGCTTTTTTTTTTTTTTTTTGGATATAAGGAGAGAATTCTATTGAGTAGCCTTTGAAGGTGAGAGAAGGATAAAATAAGGGATTTGCAGGAAAGGTTTAGGAGAAATTTAGTGGCTTAGTTTGCAATAAAAATATCAGATGAAGAAATTAATTAAATGATGAATGATTGAGGGCCGTGAAATGATAAGAAGAAAGAAAAGCACGAAAGGATAAGAAGTAAATATATATGACTACTTGTTGTCTGCCATTTATATCATTAAATATATAACAATATAAAGAATTATTTTTTGATTACTTCTTGTCTGCCATTTACACCATTAAATATATAATAACACTAGTGCAATCCACTATAAGAAAGCTTAAAGTGCTGACCATTTCATGAGTGAAGTTTCCCATACCTGACCATTTCTTTTTCCACTTTATTAAAGTGTTGTTTTTTCCACCTTTCTTTTGCAGTTTTTGTAGGATTGAATGTGAATATGATGAACTTTCAAGTTAGTTTCAGGATGGTAAAGCTGGGCATCCGTGGCCCATCAATGTCAAAACTTTTGACTATAATGAACAAAGTTAGAATCGGAATTTAGTCAATGGAAATAACAACTATGATGTTACCCTACCCTACCAATGAAGTTTCCCACAACCAGCTGGAAACTTTAAAATAATTATCTGCAAATTGCATTTCATGAAGCATAGGAAAATAACAAAATACAAAAATTAGATGTTGAAAGCAAATATAATTCTGTGTTGATCTGAGTTTTACTTAAATAAAATACATGATTATGATTTATGCTTGAAATTCTTCTTCTTGAGTGAAAGATTTAGAGTTTTGAAGGTTCCACGATATTTCAAGTTGAGAATTTCGGAAAGACTACTGCATAAAGTAAAAAATTTTAAAAACTGTAAGCCTCCTTTCTGATTTGGTCCTGGTGATTTTTAAGTTTGTATTGTATTTTCTTTCAATATTATTTTTGTTTTACATTCAATTCAACTATGGTTTTTAACATCACATAATAAAATCTTAATAGATTATTTACAAAATTGATCATTTCTAAAAATGATTATGGGACAAACGACAACAATCTCAAACTAAGCCTTAGATTCTTTGGTAAGTTTAGATAACACGTTACAACATCATTCTTTATTTTTACAACATGTTAATGCGTCAAAATCTATAATGTTTCGTGTTTATTGGATGTTGTCAATCAATATGTACTCTGTTTTCAGCCTGAACAAAGAATACAAAATCAATATTATATACACTCTTCAATCTCATCAGTCACTTATAAATTCTTATACAGATGAAATATATAAGTATAGCAAGATATATATTTAAAATCTACTTCATGTTAACTCCTTTGTTAAACCACTATGATAATATATTATTTGCGTTATGAAATGATAAAAGTAAAGAAAGAAAAGCATAAAAAGAAGTAATATTTATATGAAATAAGAAAAGAGAAAGGTTGCAGCATAAAGCAAAGAAAATTAAATGGTATGAAGAAGGAAGATCTATATTGTATAATGCATCTTGGAAATGAATGATTCCATCAAAAGCAAATGTTAAAATAAACAGATCAATTTGGTAATATTTACTAACCCATAATAGTATAAATTTTAATAGTTTGCTAATAATCCATAATAGTATAAATTTTAATAGTTTGCTAATAATTCATCGGAAGGGTTTTTGTTATTTTAAAAATCTAAGAGGAATTTTTATTATTATATCATATCATAAAAGGATTAATATCATTAAGTCTATCAACAATGAAATTACATAATTCTGAATTATATAATAAAAAATTGAATGGAAATAACCATCCTAGGTGGCCGAGGGGTCAATTAGAACTCTTGAATGTATTACTCAAGAGGTCTTGAGTTTAATTCCCTCGATTGCTAATAAGGGTGACAATTGAGAGTTTATTTAATCATTAACTTCAGGCCACATGAGATTAGCAACAACGAGTTAGTCAAACTCGATCCTTAACTTCAAGCCTTAGAGGATTAGCAATCGGGATTTTAGTCAATCTTTAACGTTAGGTCTCGAATGATTAGTCGAATTGCACGCAAACTATCTCAGATACACTTTTTCATTAAAAAAAAAAAAATTGAAAAGAAATGATGAGTTTTAAACCATCACATCAAAATAAACCATTAGGGGACAAAACATTCATTCTCATTCAGTCCTAATAGTTTTTTTTTTTTTTTTTTTTTTAAATGTTTTTAAAGTTGGGATTTAAAGAAATTCTTGTGGGTATTGTGGTGGAAGGTTTCAAGGAATTGCTACCGTTGAAATCTGCTAGGAGTGCTGAATGATTTGAGTGGTGTGGAATGATAAGATGAAAGAAAAGCACAAAAGGACAAGAAGCAAATATATATAATTACTTCTTGTCTGCCATTTACATAATTAAATATATAATAATATAAAGAATTAATATAATAATATAAAGAATTATTTTTTGATTACTTGTTGTCTGCCATTAAATATATAATAACACTAGTGCAGTCAACTCTATGAAAGCTTAAAGTGCTGACCATTTCATGAGTGAAGTTTCCGCGAAAGAGCCGGGAAATTTCCCATACCTGACCCTTTCTTTTTTCACTTTATTAAAGTGTTGTATTTTCCACCTTTCTTTTCAGTTTTTGTTGAATTAAATGTGAATATGATGAACTTTCAAGTCAATTTCAGGATGGTAAAGCTGGAAGCTATGGACACTGGGATTTTTGTACTGAAAATGTGTATCGATCTACGTGTCTTTTGATTCACATCAATAATTCAGATGCATGATTAAACAATAAATATTTTTCTAATGAACGGCCGTCGGCTGTTCACTTACATGGACTCTCATCCATATTATATGGACGGGGGTAAGGGTGCTATTAAGCCGAACCGAGCCAAGTTTTCAGCTTAACGAGCTCGACTCGTGAGAGAGGAAGACTAAATGAGTCGAGACCGAGCCGAGCCAAGCCATAAATTATGTGACTCGGCTCAGCTCGGTAATGGGTTTGGCATATTTCGAGCCGGCTCTCAAGTCGGATTATCGAGCCGGCTCGCGAGCCATCTCCAAATAATTGTGTTTTTTTTTTTTTATTCAAATTTTTTTTTAAAAATTCGCTGGGCAGCAACTGGGCATCTGATTGCAATGTTTTAAAACTCGACCCAGCCCGACCGGTTGAACCGGTTAAACCGGGACCCGGCCAGTCAGCCGGGTCGGGTGAGCTATATAACCGGCAAAAACACTTTGCCTAGTTTGACCCGCGGTTGGACTAGGGTACTGTAGCACCCATCGGTCCAACCGGTAGCTTTACTATAAACCGGGTCAAGCAAAATCCATTAATACAAATTACAAAATTTTAAAAATAAAAATATTAAATTTAATAAATTATATTAACTACATAGTACACACTTAAACAGTATCAAGTATCAACATTTCCCCCCATTTCACGCACTTTCCTCTTTCGTCTGAACTCTTTCATCTAAACTCCTCTGAACCATTTTGCATTTTTAATTTTTCATCATCCACGAACTCCCCTTCACCAGTTCACTAACTTCACCGTGAATAGCCTTCACCGTCACCAGTTCACCGTGGAATCTCGTCGTCTCCCCTTCACCATTTCGCGATCTGTTCTCACTCCTCTCTTCACCACCGATCTGCTCGTTTCTTCCGTCACCGTCTCTCTGAAAGCTACACCATCGTTGTCATCTTCTTCTTGCTCAAGAACTGACGAACTGTGGGCAGTCGCGATCTCTTCTTCTCTTCTGCAGTTCTGCTCTGTTCAGTGTTCAAGTGTTCGTCCGTCAGTCGAGCTCCACATTGATTTCGTCTCTGCTCTGTTCAGTGTTCAACGGCAGCTCGTCTTCAGTCTTCACCAACACCAGGTATTGATTTCGTCTCTGTTCCAAGTTTCCAACTATGTAACTTATTATTGTTTTTCATTTTTCGTTTTTTACTACAATGTTTATACTTATAGAGTTTATGCTTTTTTAATTGGAAAGAAACTTTATAGAGTTTATGCTTTTTTAATTGGAAAGAAAGCAGTTGAGGAAGATGGACATGACTTAAACTAAGTTGGGTTTGGTTGGAATAATGGAAATCTTGTGAAAAAGAGAGATAAAAATGAATTGTCATGGGTATAAATTTATTGTGTTAAGCAAATAAAGCTTTACTACATTTATGAAAATTCAATGAGGAAGTAGTGTTGCGCAATTCACTTGTATTTTTTGAGCTCCATTTGAGTGCAGAAGTTTGGAAAATTAGTTACAGAAAAAAGGGTTTAAGCCACAACTACGCTCTGTCTTGTAAACAAAGGCTCTTGGCTATTTATTACTAGCTGAAGTTTTAAAGTCTAACCTACTTTTGATGAAAGCAACGCATAAACTTTATGAATAATAAAAAATGATTTGAATATTTAATTTTGCTATTTCAGGAGTTGTTACAAGAAAATTACATATGATCCTATTGATTATGAGAGTATTGATAAAACTGAATGGTGGATAGTTGATGAAGAAGAGGAGGTTGGTGAGCTTAATTATGATGAATTGGAACAATCGTTATATGGAGAAGGAGCTATTCCTGTAGATGGTGGTGAATCTAGTGATTACCCTTCTTATTATGACTCAACAGATGCTTCAGAAGGTTATTCAAATTTTTTTAAGCAATTTCAATTTGGTATTAGCTAGTTTATATTCAATTAGTTTAAATGGGAATATTTAACTTATGGTTTTTCTTTTTTGTTAGAATTTTTTGTAGATGATGTCGCCGATGTTAATAATGATGACGATCATCCATTAGGTGGTGTGTGAATTGTCAATTTTAATTGAGGATGGGATGATGGATTGATTGATTGAAAACCATTTGGTGAAAAACAATTTTTGTTAGAATGTTGAAATGTTGAGTCGTTGACTTGAAAGTTGGAAACTTGAAACAACTATTATGTTATTTTTCTTCATTCATTTTGTTATTTTGATTTGTATTATTGATATAATGATGTTTGATGATGTT